CGCCGCCGCCGCCCCGCCCACGTGACTCGCCGGCCGGAGCGGGGCGCTATGGGAGCTGTAGTCCCGGGGACTGGCCGCGGAGAGGGCGGGGCCCGCGGCCTGCTCCGGCGGCACGGGCACCTCGCCCAGGCCCCTCCCCCGGCAGAATAAGGGCAGAGAGCCGGCTGGCAGGTAACACCTCGGGGACCCGCGGCCTTCCCACGTACCATTCGCCGGCACTAATAATCTCCGACATCAGACACAGCCGATGACGCGCTCTCCCAGGAGGGCTCCGGTACTTCAACACACCTCTTGGTGGGACATGCTGCCCGGGAACGGTTTCGTGGTTAGGTGGTGACCTGCCAGTAATAGTCCATTTTGTCCTGGGGTGCAACCAAGCAACGCTTCAAGGTTAATCCCAGATACGGATACCACGGCACTTCCCTGTAAAGAGGGGGGTACAATCTTAAATACCCCACCAGAGCGGAAGGAAGCGTGCGAGGAAAGCAGCTTTGGAAGAGCGAGGATGGACAAGCCGTCTTATCACAACACGACTTAGAACAGGAGGTCGTCCTCAGGAAGGGGCACATCACCTCGCCCGCTTCACACCAGGGATTCGCATTTACAGAAGGTTTTACCCCAGCCACAGGGCTGGCTGTCTTTTTGCTTCATCCCCACTCCCTAACTTCCCACCAGCAAACTACTAGGAGGCTCTTAAACACTGAACTAAAAACACCACCACCACAACACAAAAACCCAACAAACAAAACCCAAAAAGGATTCCTGTCTCACAAGCTACCTTGAAGCAACATTGTCCGAAACATTTTTAATACTCCTAGCGAGTAAGATTTAAAGTTGTTTTGGAAAAAAAAAAAAATCTCCCTTAAATTTTCATAACCTTTAACAGATAAAAATGCAGATACAAATGGACTCACCGATTTTGTTTATCAGAATCTAATACAAAGCTTGTGGACAAAGCATTTCCCCGTGAGATCCCAACACATTCATCTCCTGGACTACAAAACAAGTTAAAAACCTGTAGCCAGTTTTTAAGAACAGCAAAATCTGAGACTAATCAAGATGATCACATGTGTGTCAAGGGTGAGTCTATCCTCCCAAATTTAGGAGGAAGATGCAGTTTCAACAATATCTCTTTTTATCTATTACGATATAATCAATAGAGTTACCCAGTACAGTCCATAGCATCTTATGAATGACTGAACATGACGAGCTGAACTGTGCTCTGAATTCCTTATGTGGCTCCTCATACAGATATTTATAATCAACATAACTTCAAGCTAAATCCCACTCAGTGTCACTGACCTGTGTTGGACACTTCAGTTCTCCCACAACAAGCTTGATACACAGACCACGAACAGAACATCTTGAGCAGACAATCCTGTTTCCTAGCAGTTCTGAGAAACACTGGTGGGAAAAGCTTGCATTAATGCCGTCTCTTCAGGGACTTGCTTTTTCCAACCTCTGCTTTTTCACCAGCTGCCTCAAGGCTACAGGACTACACAAAGGATTAACAAAAACAAGGATCCACAACACATTTTATTCAACTCATTGTCTGAGATATTTGAGCAGTTCTGACTCCAGACAAGTTTTCTTCCCTAGTGCTCCAAGTCATTTAACAACAGTTAGAATTGTGCATGTGTGGGGATGCATTTTGTAGAACTACCTATTTAAACAAACCAGTCAGACTCAAACCTGGTCATCTGAACACACAGCCTCTGGGGGAAAAGTCATCAAAACATAGTCTCAGCCTGCAGGTGTATTCACACAGAGGCACATTCCAGAAACCCAACTGGCAAGTGAAAAGACTGCATTATGCTGCACGTTGTACTTCTTACAATTCAAACAAGACTGGAGACAATAGCATCTCAGATTGAAAAACCTTTTGCCATTGAAATAGGGACTTGCACATTCAACCATCTTGCAGCTGTTTTATTCAAGAATAAAAAAATGAGTTAAAACCCAAAAAGTTGGTTTTGTCCCCTGTAAAGTTTCCCATATAGTTTCCTGTATCAAATAACTTGAAAAAATGCTTTAGAAATCACTTTAAACAAGTACTCGCAGTCTTGTTAACTGAAGTTGACAGGAAATGGTTTCCAGTTTTAGCGTTTTGGCTCCACTGGATTAGTATTTTCATTACCAGCACAATAAATTCCCTGACTGGGAAAGACACCGGTAGCCTGGAAGTGTCCTGGATTAGACTGCCATTTCATAAAGTGCTTGTATTCAAAACCATAGAGCTGTCAAAAAGTGTCCTTTCTGCCATGGGGAGTGAGAAAGTCCCCAGTATGGAACTTCATTCAGGTCAGTCTCTCCCAGTTGTCGCTGGGTTTTGGCACAGACACATTAGCCTCCAAGGCGCTGACCTTCTCCCCATGCAAATCCTCCCGGTCGTTCTTCTGGCAAGGGATTATAATTAGGATCATCTTCCGGTGTATCAAATATTGCTTTCCTGGAAAACAGAAAAGATGGAGGTTTTTTTCCCTTTAGAATATGCGTTTCACAATAAGACCAAGACTGCTCAAATTCTGCACATGTAACAGCATCCTCCCTCAGAAACAGCCTGCCAAAGCACTGGTGATTTATACCCAAGCCACGCTTGCTCTCCAATTAGGAGCCATCTGGAAGAAGGTCTAGAATTATGTGCCTAAATCAACCAAGACTGATGAGATTCAGCTGAAAGTTAAAATTCCACCTCCAGTTTAAAGCAGAATTTCACACAGCTAGCATGTTCTCCCAGGACAAGGGAGCAAAATGTGAATGGGATACTGAAGAGCTCTTCACATCTTGAGACGGGGACAAAGCAAGAGTCAAATACAGGCAGTATTATCTCAATCTCACAGGCAGGATGCAGGCATTGACAAGCAGACTTGAAATCCACAGAAAAGTCTGCATTTGAGACAGCATTAGCAACTTGGAGTTTCTGATTTATTACAAAAATCATGCTTAATCTCGTAGGTTATTTTGCCGCTCTCAAAACTAGTTTTAGAGGTTCTCTCTCTGTAGATTTGTTATCCAGAAACAAAAATGTAGTACATTCTTTGAAATAAACAAACAAAAAAGTCACAGAGTGCATACAAGCAATCATTATATCAAATATGTCTTAAAAGTAAAGTGTGTTTAACAAGACAGTTTCAGAATAGCTGAAGGGATTATTTCTCTTCACCCAGAGTGACAGACCATTTCAAAGAAGTTTTCAGAACAGGAAAAAAGAAAATACCAGGGGTATTACAGGATTACAACTAACACATCAAAGAAAATTAAAGCATCTGGGAAAAAATCCACAATTCTAGACCCAGACAAGAATCATAAGCAGCCTTCCGAACACAGACATGTAAAAGGATTTTAATGGCAGCCTGAAGACAGGCCGACACTCTTTCCAGAGGAAGAGAGTTACTGAGACAGCATGCGTTGCCCCAACATCCTTAAGATTCCTCTTGCACTCAGCTGGGTGCATATACCCTCTGAAAATGGGAAATCTCAAATATACCCTTAGTGTTCATGTGTCATTGGACTCTCAATTTGTCTAGAATTGCATTTATATGAAGGTAGCCCTCACCAGAAACAGTCTGCAGCTGCTAAGGCCAAGTTAGAATAGTGTAGGCCTACAAAAGTGACCAGCACAACTGTCCTGGGACAACCATTCCTGGAGCCATCACCTGGTACAACTACTTGCTGAAGACAAAGCCTATACTGAACAGAAATAAACTATCAGTGTAAGTGTACTTGTCCAATCAAACAGGTACGACCCATCAGTTAAACTAAGCAGGGGTCTGAATATGACATTTTAATTACTCCAGCTCCCGGAGGCTAGTTAAAAAAAAAAAAAAAAAAAAAGACAATCAGTTCAGCTCTAGACAGTTCTAAGAGTCTCACGGAGCTCAAATTTCAATATCTCAGCTGCCCTGTTGTTCAGGCAAGCTTCTCTCACCCAGGCCGCTGTACAGCATTACAGGTGATTACAGCCCTCTACGCAAGAGGGAACTGAGTAGTAGTAGCACTGCTCAATAGTACAAACATTGAAGTCTTTTGCCAAAGTTGTGAAATAGAGAATGATTTACAGATTAAAAAAAGATTCTACATATTTAACACCTCAGTCACTCTGTTCGTACACAGGAGGACTACTCTTACTCCTCACACCTCAATAAGAGACATGCATCTATGGTGCCACCAACAGGCAAAACTCAGCAAAGCCTAAAAAGTGTCACCAAAGAAATCAAGGGTTATGAAACCCCTTTAGCCCTTCTTTGCAAGAAGTTAGTTTCCACTTACACATCTGCTAAGATTCCCCCCCCCCTTCCTTGTTTGGCAACACAGGAGTTAACTAAAAGAGCAAGTACAGACACACCACAATTCTGCCTCACGCTGTCTAATTTACCAGAAGTCGATGCGACTGAATTATAAACAGTTTTCCATGCAAGCACTTTTTCTACATCCGTTCCAAATCAGGCACCAATACTTACAGGACAGATGGTGTTCTCAGAAGCCTTCCACCACCAGGCTGATTGGGAAAGACATCCTCTAAGAAAAAATATATATGCCCAACGGCAATGCCTAGTATATAAAAAAAAGTCAAATGGTGATTTTTCAATACTTCCCCTTTACAACCTCCAAATGCTTCACTAGAGTTTTCAGAAAAAAAAAAAAAAAACACCAAACCACCACACATTGATTCTTTCACAGAAAATACAGTAAGAGATACAGAAATACAAAAAACAATGAAGCACACTGACATCAGATGGAAAGCTTAACTTACACTACAAGACATTAATACAAGGAAAACTGCTTGTCATTATTGAACATACTGATGTTATGGCTTTATTAGAGTTGACAAAAATAGTAATATAAGCTATTTTACTTCAATAGTTTGATGCTCACAATCAGATTACATACCTGGGCTGATTCCAACCAATAAAAAGCCAAAGCACCAGAAGCTCTTTCCATCCTTGTTACAGTACAAAATATGCTACAGTGTTTAGAAATCAAGAAAAGCCCGGTATAAATATAGCACCATTATACCAGACTAACACCAAGCAAGAGGCATTTAACCGTTTGTTTTTTCCACATTTTTTGTTTCATGTAAAATACTCGCAGGAACAAATCCTTGTGGTTCTTGCAATTCCTTACCCAGGAGATCCACAATGATGGAGTTCCCCAAAAGCAGTGAAAAGCCCATCAATACCCAGGGTAGAAATGGGGCTTGAAAGATGAGAAGACCAAAAAAGTTCATACGGACATAGGGATTCCTGCGGCTCCATACATACACGAGCATTATTGTGAATGCCTGACCCAAGAAAACCAAGTTCACAAACAGGCCAAAAAGCTGTGGTGAGTCGTTAAAGAAAACAGTTCACCAAGTAGTGTTGTGAGGTCAAGCATGAGAAGAACTTCACAGCTTAACCTGTAATCCTATGTCTTCCATAGAACTTCTAACTCTTACTTTCCCAGGTTCAAGTAAATCAAACCCACTGTCAGTCAAATTCAACACCTATAGCAGGATTCAGGGTACCTGCAGCATGAATAATCTCTTTAAAGTATAATTTACCATGAAACCACCGAAGCACCAACATTTCACTTGGACAACCTGAGCATGATTACACACTTGAGCAGTCCCCTTTTATCTGATAATCTCATTTTCATAATCCTGTAAAGCAGCAAAAAGCCTGAAAGACCAGCCCAGTATTTAACAGCAATAGTCCTCGTACTACAACAAAATATACTATCATCTAAGAAGATAAAAGTAACATCACGGTTTCAGTTCTCATTCACATATTTTAGCTTTACTAAAGCTGTTTGGAATAAAAAAGGATACAGTCATTAAAAGTCCTCCAAAAAGGAACATAAATACAAAATCTGCCGTCCGACCTCGAAAAGAGCCTTCTTCAAGCATTCGGCAGTAACGATATCTGAAGTCACAGGTCAGGAAAATTTGATTGCAAATGAGTTTAAAGAAAGATCCAAGTGGAAAAGGATTCAATTATACATGAGCTTAGATGTAAGTTTTGTATCAATTTACTTCATCAACCGCCTCTTTCCGGGTGCCTCAGCAGAGAGGTCAGACCCAGGAGGAAAAAGTTACTTGGAATTTTCTCCTGTATGTCAGAACCAACCTGAAGGATGAGGCTTGTACAACAAAGTCTTAACACCACAAAAATAAATGGCAAAGCTCTTGACAGCTTCTGAAGGAAATCCCATTGATATCCATTCATGACATCAGTGAAGTCAGCATCGCTAAACTCCCAGGAACTTCACGGTGGAGCAGAACTGAACCTTTGCCTATATGCACATATAGCAACGTGCCTGTACTGTGGAGCTCTGCTTTCCAAGGAAAGAAAACAAACTTGATGAAGGATACAAAAAGATCATGTTAAATAAAAAATTAAAGCCAACTGGTCCAAAGAATAAGTAGTTTGTGATTAACCTCCATACCTGGAAATAAAACAAATACAAGGACTTTAAACATGACAGCTTATTTTTATTGTCTAAATAGAAAAGCAAGTAACAACGTGACTGAAATCTCCTTTACAGTCAACAAATCTAAGACCTATTATAAGATACAGTGATCTGCACTCTAGCTTCATTAGCTTTTCTAAAATATAACTTCAACGTGAAAAGTCATAGTCATTTGTAACACTCGATTTTGAGAGAACAAGCACTTGCAAACTCAAGAGTTTACTTAAAAACTTCTCATACTTTAGAAAACACTTACTTGAAAATGTTTAAATATTAATTCAGGGTTGAAATACAGCTGAAAGGGTGTGATTAGTTCTAATTGCTGGAAAAAAAAAAAGAGAACAGTTGACGGAATCAGTACACCAAGCAAAAGTTGTACACACCCAAATAAGGAACCCCCTTCCTCTGTAGCAAAAAGAGCCCAGCAAGTTGTCAATCAGCACAACAAGCTTTCTAGCAAAAGCCAGCCTCAACAACCAATTCAGCCCCCCTCACGTTGTTACTATTTATCTGTGCTTTGCGCCTTCCCAGGTTTCACAGCGGGCTGACAGCGGGGGCTCTGGAAGCGCTGCTTTTAGGGGACCCCTCTGCTTCCCGAGGGGA